TGTGTGTGTGTGTGTGTGTGTGTGTGTGTGTGTGTGTGTGTCTGTCTGTCTGTCTGTCTGTCTGTCTCTGTGTGTGTGTGTCTGTCTGTCTCTGTGTGTGTGTCTGTGTCTGTCTCTCTGTGTTACTCAGGGTTAATCACATTAGATCTGGGTGGAGGGAGCGTAAGCTTTAAAATTTATTACTGTGTGTGTGTCTGTCTGTCTGTGTCTGTGTGTGTCTCTGTCTGTCTGTGTGTGTGTCTGTCTGTCTGTCTCTGTGTGTGTGTCTGTGTCTGTCTCTCTCTCTGTCTGTCTGTCTGTGTTACTCAGGGTTAATCACATTAGATCTGGGTGGAGGGAGCGTAAGCTTTAAAATTTATTACTGTGTGTGTGTCTGTCTGTCTGTGTCTGTGTGTGTCTCTGTCTGTCTGTGTGTGTGTCTGTCTGTCTGTCTCTGTGTGTGTGTCTGTGTCTGTCTCTCTCTCTGTCTGTCTGTCTGTGTTACTCAGGGTTAATCACATTAGATCTGGGTGGAGGGAGCGTAAGCTTTCAAATTGATTACTGTGTGTGTGTGTGTCTGTCTGTCTGTGTCTGTGTGTGTGTGTGTGTCTGTCTCTGTGTGTGTGTGTCTGTGTGTCTGTGTCTGTCTCTCTGTCTGCTGTCTGTCTGTGTCTGTGTGTGTCTCTGTCTGTCTGTGTGTGTGTGTGTCTGTCTGTCTGTCTGTCTGTCTGTGTGTGTGTGAGAGAGAGCGAGAGAGAGAGAGAGAAAGCGGCCTGCGGGCTTAACCTGACCTCAGTAATTCATTCATTTCGAGACGCGTTGATGCAAAATGTCACGCACTGTTATTAGGCCCTTTCGCACTGCTTTAGTTCCAGAACTAAATGTACGGTACTAAAGTACTGGGACGATTTTGCGCGAACTATTTCCCGGTACCATTTAAAGGGTTGCATTCGCACAGACAGTGTGTACTAGGAAGTGACGTAAGCCGGTCGACAGCGTCGTCATTTGTGCGCGGCGTTCAACAACAGAAACAAAGAAGAACAACATTAACAACAGGAGGATGGAGGATGCTGTGATCGGAGCTGTGTGTTTGTTGTGTCTCGCGGGTTTCACAATAATAGACATGGAAAGGAAAGTCGACGTATACGTACAACGATTGAAAGAACGGAAAGGAGGACTAAGAATCTCCAACGACAACTGGCAGTGCTACATTTGTTCTGGTTAGACCCTGCTCCGGAGTAGGAGCTAATTTGGTTCTCGAAAAAGGCAGTCCGGTACTAAAATCGCTCCCAGTTCCGGTCGTGCGAACATGCCGAAAAGTGTAGTGTAGTTCCATAATTAGTTCTGGTACTATGAAAAGGTTCCTGCGGTGCGAAAGGCCCTATAGTTTACCTTTTGACCTTTTGCTTCAGTTTCAAAGTTTTGAGCTCGCAAAACGCTTAACAGGTTAAGACCAAACGCTGGGCTGGTTAATAACACGTTAATCTTGTCAGCCTCCTGTGTTAGTGGATGGTTGTGCCACCCAGTCTGGTATTTCTTGTTGTATATGCATTGAATAAGATGTGCATAAAACTACATCTTGTCCTGTTGTATCTCTGCCACCTCAAATAGATTCATTTTAGTTATTAGGTAACTTTGAGTAACTTATTTCAGGGGCAGCCCTCTGGAGTTGTCTTTATCAAGAGCACAGGGGAGCTTAGCAGCCCATTGTAATAGACAGGTTGTTGGTATTGGCCTTGTTGGTTAACACTTAACACAATTATGGTGATGAGTTTTAGTTGATCTGTCCTATATGAAGACCACTTAATACCCCTAATATATATGTGTCTTCATAATGCAGTGTTGTACATTTGTCCTGTAGCGAACCTTGAGCCGTAACTTATGTACATGCTTCAGAAACGGGCTTTTTCCAGAATACATGGCTTCCAGAATACGGTTAACTACTGTTCACCACTGTTTGAATTCACAAAATTGTTTAGGTTATTCTTCTGTAATGCATTAACACAGTGTATTTGTGTGTGTGTGTGTGTGTGTGTTTTAGGTGCGTGTGGGATCCAGGTCCCTGTACAGGTCAGTTTCTGCTGCTGTGCTTTCCAGACCAGAGGTCAAATCAGAGGTGATTGTCAAACCTGCCTTTTGATTTTCAATATCTCTCTCTTCATTTACAGTAGCTCTTAACGGTCATGCTTTGTAGACGATGTACAAGGCATCAGCGTAAGAATAACACAAAAGATAAAGTGTAACTTGATCTACTTCTTTGAAATAGAGCTCTTCTGATCCACTGCAAGCATGCTACTTGGATGGTTCGCGCAAAAATGAAAACTGTCATAATTTTTCCACCCTCATGTTCTAGAGGTCGACCGATGTATCGGTTTCGCCGATTAATCGGCACAGATAGTTGATTGCTGGAACTATCGGTTATCGACAAAAATCCATTTTCCGACTTGCGTCCATCGCTGGAGCGGCTGAGAAGGGTCTGCTGTCACTACACAGTGCGAGAGCGCCCTCTAGTGGTTGAAATCACTGACAGCACGTGCTATTTGTTTAGACCCGTGATGCTGCACGCTGAACAGAGCGGGAAACTTCAGATGCAGATTTAAATGCAGCCGACAGAAAATCCTGCCGCACCACAGAGCGCCATTCACATAGTTTTCCATTAAATTACATTTTAGTTGTTGTTGTTAATCGCTGTTAATGTACATAATTAATTGTATAGCATTAAGATTAATTAAAGCTGTGTAAGTATTGTTCCTTGTTAGAGGGTGTTAATTTCAACATTTACTATTATTACTACTAGTATGATTCAGTACTGTTTTTTTTAAATAAAGCACTATTTTAGTTTTTGTTCAGTATCAATTTTAAAACTATCGGTTAATTAATCGGTATCGGCCAGTGTGGTCCAACCTAGCTATCGGTATCGGCAAAATCCACTGTCGGTCGACCTCTATTCTAAATAATTTGGTTAAGCCTAAATTAAATCTGTTCATCATATAAAGCGATTGTATCTCTTTATATGACTTGGATTAAAAAGCTCTATTCATAGCTTTTTAGGTCTGAGCAACAATTAATCGCATCCAAAATAGAAGACATACACATAGAGCAGGGATCCTCAAATCTGGCCCACGAGATTTACTTTCCTGCAGAGTTTAGCTCTAACCCTAATCAAACACACATGAGCATGCTAATCAACGTCTTCAGGATCATTAGAAAATCACAGGTAGCTGAGTTTGATCAGGGTTGGAGCTAAACTCTGCAGCGCATTGGCCCTCCAGGGCAAGATTTGAGGAACCCTGACATGGAGTATATATTTTGAAAATGTTTATGTAAATTGAATTTAAAATTTATATTATATAAATATATTTAATATATAAACATTACATAAATATACACATGCATGTGTGTGTGTCTTTATATATATACATAATAAAAATACACCGTACACACATATTTACAAAAACCTTTATTTTGAATGCAATTGATCGTTGCCTAGCACTAATATTTATTAATTTCACAACACCTTTACGAGCTCTTTCGATAATATTCTTAGTTTTGGTTACCTGAACTCTCAATGGAAGGACAGAAACCTCCCAGGTCTTATTAATGTGTTTCAAACATTAACAAAATAGTGTAATGACATGATGACACTTTTCATTTTTGTGTGACTGTCACTTTAAGGCATTTGAAATAATTGTAATAACTTCTCTGCTCCTTGTGAACTTGGTATTCAGCCCCGGTCAGAAAAGTGATTTCTTGTCATTGAAGTAGACAACATGTTTGAGCTCTCTGGCTATTGCTGTTATGGGACAGTAAGAGGCAGGCCGAATACTCGGGTCGTGTAGAGGTCAAGTAATTCCTGTCTTCCTCTTGCAGGTCCTGCCTCAGTCGGCCCTCAGGAGCTTCCAGACCAGTGCTGTGAGCCGTGACATTGACACCGCTGCCAAATTCATCGGAGCGGGAGCTGCCACCGTGGGAGTGGCTGGATCCGGTGCTGGAATCGGAACAGTGTTCGGGAGCCTTATCATCGGATATGCCAGGTAAGAGACATTGAAATTTTAGATTGTATTAATTTCACTTTATAATATATAATTTCATGATGTTACATTATTATACACTACATTTAGGGGTAGTACGTTTTTCAACAAGGCTGCATTTATTTGATCAAAAATACAGTAAAAGCAGTAATACTTTGAAACATTATTATAATTTAAGATATTTTCTATTTGAATATATTTAAAAAAAAAATAGCATCTTCCTGTGATCAAAGCTGTATTTTCAGCATCATTACTCCAGTCTTCAGTGTCGCACGATCTTCAGAAATCATTTTAATATGCTGATTTGCTGCTCAAGAAACATTTCTCATTATCAATGCTGAAAATATGAATAGTAATATAATGCTGCTTAATATTTTTGTGGAAACTGATTTTCCAGGATTCTTTTATGAATAGAAAGTTCAAAAGAACAGCATTTATTTGAAACAGAAGTTTTCTGTTGGAGTATGAAATAATGTGCTGTTACGTTCAATCAAATTAATAATAATAATACAAAAAAAAAACACATTTATTTATTTATCCCAAAAAAGTACTATCCCCCGAATTTGAGCTGTATTGTTTCCAACAAAGTAAACATGCATTTCAAAGTAATTGAAGTATTAAGGATCTTCCGTTGTCCAGATGTTTGCAAATGTCTCTCCATGTTAGCAAGATTTAGTAAGATGGTTGTGTGTTATTTTGCAGGAACCCATCTCTAAAGCAGCAGCTCTTCTCGTACGCCATCCTGGGCTTTGCTCTGTCTGAAGCCATGGGGCTCTTCTGTTTGATGGTTGCTTTCTTGATCCTGTTCGCCATGTGAAAATCTGCTAGTTACGTGAACGCATTTAGTACAGTTGTAACTACATATTTTTGCTGTTGCTACCCAAACGGCTGCTGCCGGTCTCTGCGAGAGAAAATGTATGAATATAAAGTCCACTAAATCATGTAACAATTCAAGATTGTTCAACTATTTAAACCCTCGATCCTGTTCATGCCCACTGAATGAGAAAAGCAGCCGCTCCATCGGTGCTGCTGGCATATCAAGCTGAAACTCGCCATGGAAATAAAGAACCTGATAGCACTTTCTGTACATCAGAATAGGGATGTTGTGAGTGTCTGTAGACTGTAAGCGCCCATTCAGATGTTTTCAGGGGTTAAACTGCTGGTCAATAGTATGACTGTAAATTTATAGCAGTTGGTTGAAACCTCAATTGCTTTTGTAAATTGCATTAAATAAATTTAGATCACAGTTAACCGTATTTTTGTGTTGTCTGTATTTATTTTTATTCACATAATATTACTTGCACCGTTTTCATGGTATACCAACACGTAGTAAAATACGCTAAACCTGTGAAGATAGCTACAGTGACAAATATTTAGCTTGTGCACAAATATTTTGCATTACATTAAAAAGTAATGTGTTAAATCTGATATAAAAACGAGTTGTCAAACCCAGAGCTCATCACTCGCGAGATTTGAAGTGCGAAGGGCTCAGCAGAGCATTTATTCATCGCGAGATTAGAGTTTAAAGGGCTTGGTTCTGGGTTGAGCGGAGTACCTAATTCTCGCGAGAACCTCGGCACTGAAGAGTTTAGCGGAGTTTCCAACTCTCGCGAGAGGTGGTATAAGTGGGCTTTGGCTCTTCAGGGTTCAGCCTGCGGGTGAGTAAGCGCGTCAGCGCACAGTAATTATAAACAAACGCGCCTATTTACACACGCTTTCGGGTGACTAGCAGAATCGTCTGAATATGTAACGCCCTAAAATGCATTTGTATGACACATTCAAAGCTTGTCGGTGTTTCTTTGTTATTAATATGGCGACGCATGCTAACAGCTAGCTGAGGTCCCATTGAAATAAATGAGAGATGAGGCTAAGCATTGATTAGCCTGCTGAGACTGATGTAAACAACCTGTCTAGTGATGATACAGTCCTGGTGTCGCTGGAAATACACAGGTTTGTGGTTAAAGACACAAGCGCTTTGAGTCTGGCTCTGTGGAAAATAGAGATACAGTGTTGTTTAGAGGCATTTAAAGCAGGAAGTGACAATAGGTTGTGCTGTTATCAATGAGCATCAGCCTGATCATTACAGCATCATTACTGAGTGGTTTAATAAACACACAGAGGCCAATGCTAAGCGTTTAAATGTATATTATACAGATAGTGATGCATAATCCCTGTTATTCTGCTTTTAAGATGATAAAATCCGAATTTGTGTCCTGGCAAACCTGCTTTGACAGCTTGGTCTGACACAACATCGTCCATTAAGCTCTTAGTAACAGTAGCAGAGAATAATACTTACTATTGCACATTATTATGGATAGTGAATAATGCTGATTGATATATAAACCACGTGCTTTTGTTCTTAGGTGTGGCTTTAAATTATGTTGTTGATGAATGACTAATTGCAAGTTTGACTTTTTTCCGTGTTATCAGGTGGCAGACTGAAGCTGTGAATATGAGTGATGGTAAACCGTTTCTCTGCACTGCTCCTGGCTGCGGACAGGCACGTGATCACTGTTACACACTTAAAGCACTAACAGATATTTAAATATACACTCCAATTAAGTTACATGCTTTTTTGTTGTTGTTGTTGTCCATTTTCGGTTTCATAATGCTATGTGTGGTTCATGCATCTCCATAATGACTGTCTGTCTGCAACAGCGATTCACAAATGAAGACCACCTGGCGGTGCATAAACACAAGCATGAGATGACCCTGAGATTTGGTCCAGCACGCAATGACAGTGTCATCATCGCTGGTGAGTCTGAGAAGTCAGCGGTTCGCAATAAAAGCAGATGAACATGAACTATTATTATTCATGGCTTTATGGGCTACTGTTGCAGACCAGACACCGACACCGACCCGCTTCCTGAAGAACTGCGAGGAGGTCGGGCTGTTTAACGAGCTCACCAGCCCGTTCGAGCATGACTTTAAAAAGGCCACAGAGGATGACATTAAAAAGGTAAAGATGTCAATTTATAATTTTGCATTTTGCGAATAAACTGTCATTCAAAGATTTGGGGGTTGATCAGATTGTTTTATGTCTTTGGAAGGAGTCTTTTTATGCTCACCAAAGCAAAAAGAGTAATATAGTGAAATATTATTACAATTTAAAAGAACTGTTTTCTATTTGATTTGGTTTAAAAGTGTAATTTATTCCTGTGATCAAAGCTGAGTTTTCAGCATCATTACTCCAGTCTTCAGTGTCACATGATCCTCCAGAAATCATTCTGATATGAAACATGATTATTATTATCAATGTTGAAAACAATTGTGCCGCTTAATATTTTTGTGGATATACTGTTATATGTTTTTCAGGATTATTTGATGATTAGAAAGTTCTAAAGAACAGCATTTATTTGAAATATAACTCTTTTGTAACATTATAAATGTTACTAATAAAAGTAATAATTCTTTAAAAAACTCACCCCAAACTTTTGAATGGGATTAAAGGTGAAAGTGGGGTTTATAGGCATTGTAACACAAATGTATAGAACAAAAAAAAAACATTAATATTTTTAGTAAGTTCCTGGTCCTATTTTGCATGAAATTGTAAATTCAACAAACAAAGATTATTGCTAGAAAATGCAATGTCAATCTTTCTGCTTCAAAATTTCAGATTTAATTCAAAGTGCTCCTTGCTGTTTTATTTGTGGGATATACTAGAAATGCAATTTTCTGCACCAAATATCAGCATAACCATCAAAATCTAAAATTTAACATAACATTTTAAAATACTTTTCAATCCCAGTGAATAAAAGCATTGCTTGTTTTGTGATATATGCGCATAATCAAACATGGATCTACATGTTGTTATTGCAGTTGCCTCTGGACTTGTCTCCTCTTGCGACTCCTGTTGTTCGAAACAAAATAGAGGAGCACACACCCATCGAGTCCCACCGAGACAGCCCCCTTCCCCACCCTGAGTCGACCACCACTGACGACAAGGTGAGATTCAGGACTCTGCTTTACAGAGCGCTGCAGTAATAGATAGGACTTTTTTAGGTCCTCTATGTGTGGTAGTTACTTGAAGAATATTTCATGCAAAGGAGCTTGTAGTAGAGCAAAGTCCACCTCAAGGATCCTAGGCTCATATTGTGCACAACTGTGTTGTCAGTAATTCGGAGTTTGTGGGTCTTCCCTACCTATAGCCTATGTTTTAGCAGACCAGGTTTGTGTGACTGCCTTCTCCCCTCATTCCACAAGTGAAAGGTGTTTGCTGCTTAATGTAGCTCGTCCCAGAGCTACTGGCTTTTAGATGAAAATAAATTTCTTCATAGAGAATTATTTTCCTCCTTCCCGTAGCTCTATGAAGAAATCTCTTTGTTGGCCAGAGTGTGTGAGAAAGATGATACGTCCTTCCTAAGTCAGCAAATAGGACTTTTAAGACTTTAAGATTGAAGCTGTAACAGTTTTAATAAATAAACATTCACTTTGAGCTCTCTGTGATCTCCAGAAGCATGATTTTTTTACTCATTGTCTCTAATGTGAACTCTCAAAATGTTGAAAATATACATATTTCTTAATTACAGTAGTTACCCTACTGTTCAAAAGTTTGGGGTCAGTGAGTTTTTCTTTTTTTTTTTTTATAAAAAAAATAAATTGATACATAAACTGTAACTTTTGATCAATAAATTGATCAAATCGTATTATAAATAAACAGTGTTCTTTTGAACTTTCTATTTATCAAAGAATCCTGAAAAATAAGCATCACAGTTTCCAGTTTTTAACATTGATGACAATAATCAGAAATGTTTCTTGAGCAGCATCATATACGAATGATTTCTGGAGGATCGTGTGACACTGAAGACTGGAGTAATGATGCTGAAAATACAGCTTTGAAATCACAGCAATAAATGACATTTTAAAATATTAAAGTAGAACGTTATTTCAAATTGTAATAATATTTATCAAATAAATGCAGCCTTGGAAAGCATAAGAGACTTAACTTTAAAAGCATTAAAAAAAACCTACACCCAAACTTTTGATTGCAGTGAAGTAATTTTTTGAGACTGATTTCTTTGATGCCCTCTGTCATCCATCAACTGTAGATCACTACAAATTGCAGTCTTTTAATTCGCAGATGAATAATGTATGTGCTCCCTGTGATGTAAAAGCTACAAACACAGTAATGGAGATCAGTGTAGTTTTGTGTGAGCGCTTGATGCAGCTTGGCTCTCGTGTGGTGTTTTCAGGAGGTTTCTTTGCAGCCGACCTCTCTGCCTCCATCCACTATAGTCCGTCCTGCCTCCCTCCAAGTCCCCAATGTACTACTGGCCAGCAATGAGGCTTGTGTTGTTATTCAGCGAGCTCTCCCATCGCCAACATCTAGCTCTGTTATAACCCAGGTCCCATCCTCTAGTAGACCGATAGTGTAAGTAACTTCTAAACGTTACTTATTCTGCTCCTCTCTTAGTTTGCCATAATTTTTTCCTTTCACGCCTCATTCGGTGTTTGGTTTTCGTCACTCATTTACTTGGAGAATTTATGATTTTGTTTCAGTTGCTTGTGATCCATGTGCCTTTACTTTTACATCATAGAACTGACAAGTGCTCGGCCATCAGACAGGTTTTGTTTGAGCCTTTTGTTTTGTTTCACACACCAGTTGAAGAGCTGTTGTTGTTTATGTTCTTATCACTTAAAGCCAACATGAACACAAAATGATTGACGCTGTTTGCTTTTAATACACTTTTTATTTTTGGCATGATTTATCACAAAAAAAGTTTGTATTATGTAATTAAAATGTAATAATTGCTCTGCCCTAAACTCTATTTTTTAAAATCTTGCCAATAGTTTTTATGGAATTTACAGTAGTGTATAATACATATATATTAGTGCTGTCAAATGATTAATTGCATCCAAAATAAAAGTTTTTGTTTACATACTATATGTGTGTGTACTGTTTATTTATTATGCTTATATAAACACACACACATGCAGTATATATTTTGAAAATATTTACATGTATATACATTTATATTATATATAAACATTTAATATATAAACACAGCCTATTTTTCTAAAATATATACATTCATGTGTTTGTATTTATATAAGCATAATAAATATACACAGTACACACTTATATATTATGTAAACAAAAACTTTTATTTTGGATGCGATTAATCGTTTAACAGCACATATATATATATATATATATTTATATATAAGTTACAGTAGCAAATAACTGTAGATATTAAAAATAAGCATTGTGAATGTGATTGACTCTTAGTCACCTCTGACTCAGTTCTGATAAGATTCATTTATTATTTACCATTTAATATATTTTTTGATGGAAAAAATTATTTCCCGTCCTGTTTCTCCTCATTAAAGTAAAGTACTGTGCAATTGCTGTTTCATGTTGACTTTAAAGCATGTCTAGCTTGTTTTTGTAGCTTATTTATGTTACGAGCCTTTGCATATAAATTCTGTACTTCAATTATGTTAATGTAACATTTGTTATGAATTTTGTTTCTGTTTGCCCCATCTCTCTGTCTGTCTTCAGTCCGGTGTCCGGCACGTTTCCGGTTCTGCTGCAGCTGCCTAACGGTCAGACGATGCCAGTCGCCATTCCAGCCACCATCGCCAGCTCCAGCGTGCACATACCCACTGCCATTCCTGTGAGTGTCCCACACGCACTCCTCTCTCTCTAGTGTGTAGAGAAAGCTCCTGGGCAATGAGTTAACATCATTAAAGGGACAGTTCACCCAAAAATTTAAATTGTCATTAATTACTCACCCTCATGTCGTTTCACCCGTAAGACCTCCGTTCATCTTCGGAACACAAATTAAGATATTGTTGATGAATTCCAAGAGCTTTCTAACCCTGCAAATTCAGCAACACAACTACCACGTTCAAGGCCCAGAAAGGTAGTAAGGACATTGTTAAAATAGTCCATGTGACATCAGTGGTTCAACCGTAATGCTATGAAGCTACGAGAATACTTTTTGTGTGCAAAGAAACGTCAAAGCGCCTGCAAAAAGTATTATTATTTTAAGTTATGAAACTTGCCGGAAGTATTAAGCATACAAAGACCTCTTCTGTATCAAAAGATCAAGGGAAATTTGGTTTCTCACATCATGAACCCTTTAATGACAGCATATTCATTTTTTAAATCGGTGAACATGTTCGTTTTTTAAGAGATCATTACATGGTAAATATGGTTTTCCTTGCTTTTTTTTAATAAATGTCTGGTACTGGCTATGTAGATACAACCTGTGAAAACTCTGAAACAAAAATGGGTAATTTAGAAATTGATATGGTGTCGGAGGCATAGCCTTGTGAGCGGCCTCAACATATGCTGCAATAACGCTTTGGGCAAATAAAATTTGAGTCCTGACTCAAGATCCTTTCCCAGTCCCGCTGCTCTCTCTCCTCTCCCATAGTTTCCATGTCTCTCCGTAACTGTGCTTATTTTAAAACAAGGGCCAAAAAGTTTGACATGGTTTTGACTTAACAAAATAGGTCATTAAAAAAGTTTCATAGGCATTACAACTATGAGCTCATTAACATAACCACCAACCCCTGATAACAAGATGTGTGCTGTTAAGATCAGACTGACATGACCAGGGATTGTTAAAAACACACACCATAAAGCTTGACACATTGAGAGTTCAGAGAATTACAGTGTTTAGTACAGTAAACTCTGTAATATCTTTTTCCATGATATGACTTGTTTAATTCTAAGAGTCCGAGAGAGGGTGGAAAATACTAGACATTAAAAACTGTTTTCTGAAACCTTGACAACAGTATAATTGAACTTGTCTGTGAAGGACATTTGGCATAGAATTTCTAACCAAAGGTATATTAGAAAGCAGCCTAATATTGGAAAATCCTTTCGAAATGCACCTGTGATGCCTTAAAATGCTGGCTATAATTAGGCAGCTCACTTTTTTTTCACGTCCAAAATGCCTATAGAGGGCAGATTTGTTTTTTGGCTAATTAGACATTTTAAGGTCATCTCCTTTGTGTTCCATTTCTGCAGAAATATGACGTAGTAGATGGGTTTGTCCTGACCACTGTTTGCCAGAGATGTGATCCACAGCCATTTATGGTCATACACTCTCTCACACACACACACACACACATCCAAAGTACAGTTAACACTGTGGCTTGACTAGAACAACACTGAATGTTCAGATTCAGATGTTTTCCTTTCTTTAAAAGCCCTCCCCTACAAATCAAGTGGTCACAGGAGTCACATTTGCGACGCATGTTACTACATGTGTAAAAAGCGATCTGTCCCCTAACCAGATGTAAACAGGTTCCCCAAATCCAACATGAGTGTGCTGGGAAGTGATCAAAGCACTCTTAAACACGGCTCCAGTGCATTGAATGTGTTTAAGTGTGTGTTGGTGGATGAAGGACACTGTGCCGCTTTCATTACGTCAGCCTGTGAGGTGTGCGGTAATGTATGCAGACACACATTATCACTCATACAAACGTGTTTGGGGCAGTTCAGACCCTGTGTGTGTGTGTGTGTGTGTGTGTGTGTGTGTGTGTGTGTGTGTGTGTGCTTGATGATCTGTATGGAACACTGAGCAGCATATGATTATGTCCCGTAGGCTTTCAGCAGGAGGAAAGAAGAGAGATGGGGAAAAAAGAAACTAAGAAATATATTCCCTAATACCTACTGCAGTGTTTTATATAGGATTTAGGTTACACTTTATTTTAAGAAGTCCTTATTACAGTGTAATTATACATGAAAGGGGTCATATGATGCGATTTCAAGTTTTCCTTTTTCTTGGGAGTGTTACAAGCTGTTCGTGAATAGATAAGATCCCTAAAGTTGCAAAGACTAAAGTCTCAAACCCAAAGAGATATTCTTTATAAAACTTCAGACTTGTCCACGCTCTCCTAAAACGGATCGTTCTAACACGCCCCCACATATCTACATCACGATGTGGGAAGATTTGCATAATGCCGCCCAAATGTTCACGCAAAGAAAGAAGGCGTAACTTTTATTCTCGCTGTAGTATTGTTGTTGTTGCCGCCGCCTCCATGTCGTGAAGGCGCTGTGTTTCGTTGTGAAAGTGAAACTACTTTGTTTGGTCTTCCAAAAGAGGACACAACTAGAAATCAGTGGTTAAGTTGTATTTACAACACTGTTCCAGAACAGTCAACCCAAATATTCAGATGTGTGCAGAGCATTTTATGGAGGATGTTTCCTGATCCTGGGAGAGTAGACTACAATGCCGGCTGTTCTGACTCAAAGACTGTAAGTACGTTTTAATATTTAAAGAATTTGCCACTGATGATTCAAACGCGAGTTTTGAGCAGTGTAGAGTAGCACTTGTTGTTTGTCATTTCTCCGATCACAAATGCAGACATGGTTTTATATTTACGCGGCGCGATGCAACGCGACACGTAAAAAGACAGTATAAGTCATTATAATCCATAATTACGTCCCCACTGGATGCAACAAATGTCTCGTTTATAATGGGTTTTCATGTTTTTGAATCATCGCTCCGGCCTGACAGAGCATCATCACAGTATGGTGAGGGGCGTAACATTTCTGTCACACGCTTGAGGTATTCGGCCAATCACAACGCACTGGATAGCTGGCCAATCACAGCACACCTCGCTTTTCAGACCGATGAGCTTTGTAAAAATCTACGTGTTTCAGAAAGGCGGGGCATAGAGGAGAAACAATAATGTACAGTATGTGGAAAATAATGTGTTTTTTTAACCTTAAACCACATAAACACATTTCATTACACCAAATACACAAAATAATGTTCTTTTTTAGCAACGTCATATGACCCCTTTAAGTACTATTAAGTAACTACATGTACTTACTATTTGGTTAGGGTAAGGATTAGGGCTTGGCTTTGGGTTAGTTACATGTAATTATGCATAATTTATTGTTATTATAATAGTAAGTACATGTATTGTGTAACAAGGACACCTTAAAATAATGTGTTACCGGATTTTGTTTTTGGCAGGAGGCCCTTTTTATTACTATTTTTTAACGGAAATATAAAAATACTGTGGTGTTATTATCTGATACATTATTGTACATGGTACATTTTTGCTTTCTTGTTTTCATTGCTCATAGTAGCCGCTTAGCTACAGATATGGGCTGAGCCCTTTCTGTGTGTTTGTGGGATAATGAGGGGCATGTTTGTGTCTTATTTAGTTATTGCTTCATTTATTTTTCTCCTTTAGTGTGTTGGAGACAATGTATTGATGTTTTCTGTGATGTCTGTGTGTGTTTTCAGCTTGTCAGACCAGTCACCTTAGTGCCTAGTGTCCCTGGAATCCCTGGCCCCTCCTCTCCACGGCCTGTCCAATCAGAAGCCAAGATGGTAATTTCTGCCCCGCTCATTTACATATGCATCCACATGCACCTCATTTGCAAGCATGTTTTAGTGTAAGCAGATTTTCCTTCATCCCAGAGGGACTAAGGATGTACAGTCCACAACACTGAGCTTTGTGTAGTTCCTGTACAAGAGCACAAGAGGGCATCTGACTGGACTGTTGAAGTAGTGGATGCTGACATGAACTTTGAAATCTAGAGATCAGCTATTTCCATGTTTGTAGAGAAATTTGAACATGCAGTACTGTCCAAAAGTGTGGAGAAATTATGATTTCTTTGTTTTTCAAAGAAGTTTTATTCTCACAGAGGCCGCATTTATTTGATAAAAATGCAGTAATAATAGTTGCATTGTTAAATATTTTTACAATGTAAAAACAACTGGTTTGTAATTAAATTTATATTAAAATGTAATTTATTCCTGTGATGTAAAATATAAAAAAAATTGTAATATTCTGAAATATTATTACAATTTAAAATAACTGTTTTCTATTCAAATATATGTTAAAATGTAATTTATTCCTTTGATCAAAGCTGTATTTTCAGCATCATTACTCCAGTCTTCAGTGTCACACGATCTTCAGAAATCAGTCTAATATGATGATCTGCTGCTCAAGAAAGATTAATTTTTTTTTTCTGCTTAATATTTTTTGTGACGTTTTGGGTAAGTAAAATTAAGAAAGAAAGAAAGAAATGAATGCTTCTGTTTAGCAAAGCTGCATTAAATTGATCAAAAGTGACAGTAAAGGCATTTCTAATGTTATACAAGATGTCCATTTTAAATAAATGCTGTTCTTTTGAATTTTCTATTCATTAAAAAAATCTTAAAACAATTGTATAATTTCACAAAAATAAAGAACTATTATTATTAACTGAGCATATCAGCTTTTTAGAACGATTATTAGAAGAAACTCTGAAGAGCTTTCTTTCAAAAACATTGAAAATATTCATTATTCCAAACTTTTGACCAGCAGTCTATGTAAATGTTCATTATTGTTTTAATTGTATGCCATCTGCATCTCTCAAGCTCAACCATTTAACCCTGTCCCTAATGTTATTGTAAAAAAAAGTTATCAAACAAATGTTTTTTTTTTCTTTAATATATGGGAACTATATATTTATTAGTTATCACTGGCCAAAATTTGGGCTTAAATTGTTATAATTCATGAACGCTTTGAGACCTAAGACCCAAGACAGTCTGCAGAAGTAAAAACATTTCAAAATATTAAAGTATCAAAAAGTTATATAAGTTTAAATTTACTGTAAAGAAAATGCACTGTACCATTTTATTTTATTTTATATCAAATAAATATTTTTAAATCCAAAATTGCTATAACATTAAAGCCTTATGTCCAAATAAGTTATGTTCCAAATTTGAAGTTGATATAAAAAAAAATATGAGGTTCCTTTGAGATTTTATTTAGAGCGTTATACCACAAACAGCCACCGGGTGTTTTTTCTGTCACACATGTCTACATTTCTCTGTCAGTATGACTTCTATCACAAAATAACTTACGGATATGGAATCTTGAGACTCAGACCTTTCCAAGATTATAAAAATATTTAACATGAGCTCTTGAAATGACCTGATTTTACTAACTCTTTTGCTAAGAAATTCGACTTATTTTTTAAGCTATTTATTTATATGCATATGGCCAAATAAGTACTTGCTTGCATCCAAACGAATGCACATCTACCCCATGACCAAACATTCATAACATGCACCACATCAGCATACTCTCATATGCACATAAAACATATTCATACACATACACCTTCCAGATAACCTCCATCTACAGGAAGCACACGCACAAAACCTCAACTCATCAGAAAACATCTAATGAGCCCTCGTCAAGCAAACACCCGCTCATCTCTCTCTCTCTCTCCTGCCACACAGACACGGCACTTTACAAGGACTGATGATGCTGCAAAGACCACAATAATGATAATTAACTTGCTGAATTTAGAAGATTATGCTGTTAATTAGTTACAAAATAAAGAGAAGTAATAAAGGAGCAGATGGTTGAATAAAGCCCTCGAGATGGAGGGCTACTGCTCTGATGGGGCTCCGATGGCAGATATGAAATATGGATCTGACTGGCCCCGCACACATCGTTCACAGTCCCTCTGTTTCTCTCTCTCTCTCTTTCTCTTTCAGTCGTTTGCTCAGCCCTTGCGTGACTCGTTCCACGTGAATAATTTCCTTCTAGTCGTGTAGAAACGTGGAGTTCGGGAAGGGTGTTGCTCTATAAACTAATTTGCTAGATAGATTGGTCTGCCGAGGATGGCTGTTAAAATAATGCTCTTTTCTTGTTTTTTCATGAAAATTAATGCGTCCTCCGTGCCTGTGGCCATGGTTACACACCTCACCTGCTGTGGGGGGCATTTGTTAACTCACGCGCTCGGCTGCTTTCGGGCCACATCATGGTTTCCTACAAAGGGTTTTTAAAAAAACCAAGTCAGCTTAGAAGAATTATCTATGGAGAAATAAAACTTCTCGGCATCTGTCGTTCTGAAGACTGGAGTTCTGTTTGTGTTTGTTTCACATTAACTGAAATAAAATGTTAAAATACATATTTAGTGTATAAGAGGGTTGCCAAGGTAGCATTTCTAAATAAACTAAATTTAGTTTAACTTGTTGTACTAATATAACTAAAACTGAAATAAAAATGAATGAAATCTGTATAGACCTAAAAAATGACAAAAAAAAACAGTTAGTAAAACCTCAAATTAAAATGAAACCTAAAACCTATTAAATCCTCAAATTAAAACAAAAACTGAAAATATAACTAATATAAAAACGTATTCAAAAATAATAATAAAAACAATAATGGCAGTCTCAGTAATGCTAAGATAACACTGCACAAACTGTATGAGGATTAGACATTTAAATGTATTGATTTATCTTACTGCTGTCAAACAATTAATCGCATCCCAAATAAAAGTTTTTGTACTGTGTATGTTTATTATGTATATATAAATACACACACATGCATGTATATATGTAAGAAAAATATGTTATGTTTATGTATTTAATATAAATATATACATGTAAATATTTTCAAAACATATACTGTGTATTTATATATACATAATAAATATACACAGTACACACACACATATTATGTCAACTTTTATTTTGGATGCGATTAATCGCGATTAATCATTTGCCAGCACTAATTTATCTACATTATTGCTCAAATGTTCACAGAAGTCCCTGTGTGGTTTTTGACATGCTTTTGTAAATATGTTTTGGTTAAAAAAAATGGTAAAAATTCAATTATTTTATATTTATTTAAAAATATTTGTTTAGTTTTATTTTCTTATGCCGAGGATGGCTGTTAAAATAATGCTCTTTTCTTGTTTTTTCATGAAAATTAATGCGTCCTCCGTGCCTGTGGCCATGGTTACACACCTCACCTGCTGTGGGGGGCATTTGTTAACTCACGCGCTCGGCTGCTTTCGGGCCACATCATGGTTTCCTACAAAGGGTTTTTAAAAAAACCAAGTCAGCTTAGAAGAATTATCTATGGAGAAATAAAACTTCTCGGCATCTGTCGTTCTGAAGACTGGAGTTCTGTTTGTGTTTGTTTCACATTAACTGAAATAAAATGTTAAAATACATATTTAGTGTGACTTTATGTATACATATGTATAAGAGGGTTGCCAAGGTAGCATTTCTAAATAAACTAAATTTAGTTTAACTTGTTGTACTAATTTAACTAAAACTGAAATAAAAATGAATGAAATCTGTATAGACCTAAAAAATGACAAAAAAAACAGTTAGTGAAACCTCAAATTAAAATGAAACCTAAAACCTATTAAATCCTCAAATTAAAACAAAAACTGAAAACATAACTAATAGAAAAACGTATTCAAAAATAATAATAAAAACAATAATGGCAGTCTCAGTAATGCTAAGATAACACTGCACAAACTGTATGAGGATTAGACATTTAAATGTATTGATTTATCTTACTGCTGTCAAACAATTAATCGCATCCAAAATAAAAGTTTTTGTACTGTGTATATTTATTATGTATATATAAATACACACACATGCATGTATATATGTAAGAAAAATATGTTATGTTTATGTATTTAATATAAATATATATATGTAAATATTTTCAAAACATATACTGTGTATTTATATATACATAATAAATATACACAGTACACACACACATATTATGTCAACTTTTATTTTGGATGCGATTAATCGCGATTAATCATTTGCCAGCACTAATTTATCTACATTATTGCTCAAATGTTCACAGAAGTCCCTGTGTGGTTTTTGACATGCTTTTGTAAATATGTTTTGGTTAAAAAAAATGGTAAAAATTCAATTATTTTATATTTATTTAAAAATATTTGTTTAGTTTTATTTTCTTATTTCACATGGCAGAGCATTGAAGTTGATTAGTCGGTGCAACCCCTACTCCATAGTGAAGAGAAAAGCTCTTGGCGCTGAGGTCTCTATGCTGCACACGCTACAGTACGCCAGAGAAAGGCAGATTTCCCTGACAAGAGAAAATCACAGGCATCTCCAGGGAATAGGGAATTAGCTACGACAGCTCTTACTCTTGTGGAAGAGCTCTGAGGGAAGCATCTGTTTAAAGCTGTGATGAATATGTTGTTTTAATCCTTGCCTCTGGTTTTCCGCAGAAGTTAATTATTCTAATCTTCAGTTCTCGCCTCTCTCTAATGTAGTTTAGCCTCCTGATCCCAGAGAGAGAGAGAGAGATAGCACCATGTTTTCCTCATTTCGCTGCTGGAACTATAGACAGACATGCTGAAGAGAGCGAGGTTTCATGTTAAACGCTATGCAAATAGGCAGATTTCAGTCTGTTGCACATTGCGGCATTGCAGCTCATTGTGGCCAGAACCTCCCACTTAATCAGGAAGGGCCCTCCGACTGACATTTAACATGGCCAATCACAGTTTGGTGTTTTGAATGTGACATTTAGGGCAGGTAGATGTGAAATTCAACAGAAAGCAAGCAGATAAAACTAGGTATATTCTTCTTGCAAAGAAGTTAGTAATAGATGTTGACCTGACCTCTGACCCGCAGAAGCTGAAGGCGGCCCTCAGTCAGCAGATCCCTCAGGTAACCAACGGCGATGCAGGTGACATCCAGAGCAGCTCGACCAGTGAGACTCCGCCCCCGGCCCCGCCTCCAGCTGAGGAGCCACGCCCACAGTCTCTACAGCAGCCGGCTACATCCACTACAGAAACGCCTGTATGTGTTATTAAATGTCTCTTGCAAATAATCCTGAAAGTAATTAGGTATCATGTAACTAACACAGAACAGCAGGTTAACGATTGATGTTAATTCTTATGAATTTTTATCATTTTAACATTTCAAATTTAACAGTAGGTAGTGGATTATGAGCTAGTATGAATTAACAATGAAGAGTAGTACACTTCCGTTCAAACTTTTGGGTTTGGAGAGTTTATGAAAGTTTTTTGTGTTCACCAAGAGTGCATTTATTTGATCTAAAATGCAATAAAAAAACAGTGATATATTTTGAAATATTATAACATTTAATTATATTTTAATATATTTAAAAATGTAATTTATTTCTGTGATCATTACTCTAGTTTTCAGTGTCACATGATCCTTCAGAAATAATTATAATATGCTGTTTTGCTGCTCAATAATTTTTTTTTTTTTATTAATGCTGAAAACAGTTGCTCTACTCTATATTTATGCGAAAACCATTATTTCTTTATTTAACAGAAATGTATTTGAAATATAATTTTTTGTAACGTGTATAATTCCTGTCACCTTTGATCAGTTTAATGCATCCTTGCTGATTAAATAGTTTTTCTTCTTTTAATTTTGAAAACTTACCTTACTTACCTTTTAAATGGTAGTTTAGATGTATAAAGTAGCATTAATGTAGACTAACAAATGCCTTAAGAAATTGTTGTTCATTGTAATATCATGATAGCTAATGCAGGTTTACGAATTCAACCTTATGGTAAAGTGTTACCAAGAATTGCATAAAAACATACAAATTTAAAAAGCAAATTATTAATATTTTTAAAACCGCTAATCAAGCGCAACACACATTTCCGTGGTGCATTTAAGTCTAGTACATTTCTGTCTTCATCAAGCTTTGGCAGGTGCAGCCCTTGATTGAATTCTTCTAAAAGGTCTTCGTGTTTGATTGTGGGCCTGTGCAGGTGTCTCCGGCCCAGCTCACCTCCAGCAAAGGTGGGCGGCGGCGGAGAACCACCAGCGAGGACCCAGACGAGAAGAGGCAGAAGTTTCTGGAAAGGAACAGAGCGGCTGCGTCTCGCTGCAGGCAGAAGAGGAAAGTCTGGGTGCAGAATCTGGAGAAGAAAGCGGAAGACTTGAGCAGCATGAACGGACAGCTACAGGTACACACACACACATCTTCGAGTGTATTTCCGTGTGCATTGGAGAGCCAGACAAAGATGGTGATGAAGTCATTAATGTAAATTAAGAAGTGTGTTTGCATGACAGCCACGGCGTGATTGTTGGAGTCTCCTGCATCGATATGGCCCTGTCAATAAAGACGTTTCCTCCAGATGTCATCGGCACACAAGCGTGTCGCCTGTTCTGTCGGAGCGTTTGTGAGCTGCCCTGGAACTCTCCCAGGGAAAGCCGTCTCTTTCTCAACCCCCGTTTTGTAGCAGGCAATTAGGATCCGCCACTGACAAGTTCGAAACAGTTCACGTAACCGTTGTCTCTGCTGATAACGGAGAGTGCGGCTCGGCGCCGGCACGTTCCAGACAATTTAATGAGATGTGCCACTGTTTATTTGCGCGCTGTCTTTTTTTATTTGTCCGTTTAAACAAAGCGCAGTGGTTTGGCGACGGGGTGGGGGAAGGGCGATTAATTTGTGGGTTATATGAAGGAATAAACTAACATGAAACAGATGGAGAAGCGAAGAAGGGTGTAGAACAGAAAGCTTGGGACTCTGAAAACGAGCGTGACAGTATGTTTCATCGGAGAGAAGCTGTTTAATACGAGCGCATTTATCAGCGCTGATGGGCCGGTGTAATTGTCCCTCTCTGCCCCGTTGGCCCAGCTGATCGGAGCGTAGAGCTCTAATGATACTCAATTACGTTAACATCATCCTTAACTGGCTTTTTAACGAGGTGTCAGGGTTTGCCGACCAGCACACGGCAGCACTCGAGCCAAACATCCCCCCTGTGCTGTCTTTATGGATGCAGCCGATCTGTGAAGACATTAAACACTTTAATGGCCTGATCTTACTGCCTCGCCATCTCTCTGAAAACAGCACAAGGGACAGTTGAGATTCATCCGATTTTAGACATTTCGTTTGATGTTTTATTTTTTGTTGTTGAGAGGCAGAATGGGAGAACTGTACCTGAAGCCATATGTCAGTTTAGAAGTTCACCACTTGGGCTAGACAATAATTCAATATCAGTATGTATCGCGATATCATTTTTTTCAATAACGGTGATATGATTTTTAAACACATTTCCGATATTTCGATATACATTACCAGTGTTGCCCATACATTGATTTATTTGTGGCGTTTGACTTTGTTGAATAAACATGAGCACTGCACGTTTCAAAATCATGTTGTTTTATATGAATGTATCTCTGAAGGCAAAGGACTGTCTTCAGAAAAGTTGCGATGGCATTTTAATTTGATCTGATAAAGTAGCGTTCATGAGCGGAGCTGCTTTGATTACAGCCGTTACCGGAGAAACCGCTGTTTCTGCCGCTCTCAAAGCGCCTCCTGCTGGCAGACAATCAGTTTGCATTTTCAATAAGACCGTCTCCAGCAACATTTCCAGTTTTTGTTGATGTTCAATTTTTTTGTTTTCTGCAGCGACTCGGAGCACTTTTAATCCCCTTTTTTCTGGCTGAAGCACTTCGGAATAGATTATAGAAATTAATACTTTTATTTAGCAAGGATGCTTAAAATTGATCAAAAGTGATAATAAAGGCATTTATAATGTTACAAAATATTCCTATTTCAGATAAATAGTGTTCATATCGATATCGGAATTATATCGTAGCGACCGAAATTAAGAAATATATCGTGATATAAATTTTGGCCATATCGTCCAGCCTTATTCACATTGACTTATGACTTATTGACTTATAACATGACTGTATACATTTGAATTATAAATACCTTGTTGCTAAATTCCAGCATGTTAAATGGTTCTGCTTTTCTTCGTTTGTCTGATATCTAGACGTAGACCAATATTTTGGTTAATTTTAGAATATATTACAGGTTAATTAATGGTATTTTTCAGAATTAGTCTTTTTGGACAATTAAGAGACGTCTGTACCAGTGTACTTTTTTAATGTTTTTTTCTCAGATATTTTAGAGTAAACAATTGTTTCAAGTAAGTCTTAACTATGTACACTACTTTTTTTTTCATGTCTTTAAAATAAGTATTTTATGTTCACCAACATTTGCATTTATTTGATAAGAAACGCAGTAAAAACAGCAAACTTGTGAAATATTACTACAGTTTAAAATCTATTTTATATTTTAATTCATTTTAAAATGTAATTTATTTCTGTGAGGGTAAAGCTGAATTTTCAGCATCATTACTCCAGTCTTCAGTGTCA